AGAAAACGGCGGTACCAGCCGCCGTTCCCCCACTCTTGTACCGTTAGCTGAGGCACGTACGCCTGCCACCCCCAAGGAAAACAAAGACTGAGGGGGCTTGGGAAGCACTGGGGCTTTTGGTCGTTCTGAGTGGGGGCTTACAGCTCACCGCCTGCTGGAAAGGTGCCGCGGCTAACACCTGGGGAGGCCCTGTGGCACTCGGTAGGCTCTTCAGGAGTGGCGGCTTTTCTTAGAGAATCGAGATGTTTTCTGTCTGCTCGGGTGAAAGGAAAGTGGTGTTATCTGCTGTCGTTCTGTGGGCAAAGAGAGAGTGGTTTCTATTATGTAACTTTCCACTCTGATATCCTATTTGTTGCTGGAGAGACCTTAAAATCAGTATATAAACTGATTTCAAAATGACTGTCAACTGGTATGTGTTTGTGCTGGGTATTTCAGAACGATTCTTTGATTGTATGTTGCTAATAAACAGTATTTTAAACAGTTGAATGTCCCCTAATTTATTTGACTATGCATAAACCAAACAACACTCAAGTTTGTTATTTTAACTAATTCTTTGAAGTAGCGATTGCATGTAGTCTGACTTGCTCATTGTAGAAGTGTAGCTAATAAACTCTTAGGGTAAGATCCATTTTTTTTTTTTTTAAAAGAAAGAAAATTTTCAGAGGAATCATTACATCTATGTGCTCAAAGATACAGTGGCTTACAAAATTCTGCTAAGGGTCTCCTGGATTTTACTATACCAGTATTATTATGCCATTAATTGTGGCGTGGTTCCCCCTCCCACCCCATTTGGAAACAGGCTTGTGCTAGTTGTAGTGGCAAAATTATAAGACATGTAGAATGGAGAGTACTTTATATTAAAAACAAAGGCCTCCCCTTTTGCCTCTCTCCTGTTTGGAACATTTTTCCCAACAATAGTGGAGAGCCCAAACCAAAATCAAGAAGCAACCAGAAAATCTGGGGGTGCTTTTAAGGAGAAGATAAAGCAAGTAGGCTGCCTTCTTAAAGGGGAATGATCAATCTAACATAGCACTATGTGAAATAAAATCACATATTACATTGGAAAGCTTTATGTTTGTAAAAATGTCTTCATCTGTAGTGTTTAAGTATGTGTTTAACTTCCTGTACCTAAATTGTCTCATTAAGTTTAGCAGAATTGCTTGGATGAAATTGAGCAGATTCAGAAATAACTCCAGAACCAGAATCTTAAATTGAAAAGGTCATGCCCAGAAAGTAACTATTTAGACTTCATTATTTAAATTACTTGTTGCTACTTTAATGTTTCATAGTAAAAATGCTTGAAGGAACAACATTCTGTTGAAGACTAGGCATGCATTGTTTTCTAAATTCCTTTACCCCCACATGCGATCCCATAATACATGGAGTACTGACCTTTCTTTTTCTTGTAAAAGTCATAGTTTCTTGATGCATTTATTATGTTTCTTTCTACATGAAAAAGCAGGGGCAAACATTTCTAGGATTATAGACTTATTACCCGTGGACCTTTTACAGCTTTTACATATGTTCTTTTTTTTTCTTTTATCTTCAACAATGTTCTAGCTTGGTTTTTATATGTTTTATTTCAATGTCAGTTGTAATTAAATTTTATAGTGTTTTCTTTCAGGAATAATCCATGCAATATCTTTGTGTAAACAAGCAAACAAAAATCTTGTAACCTTCTCCCTCTTCCCCAACCTGTACGTCAGCAGCAGTTTGGATGATATGTACTTGCGGTTAATAAGAAAGGATGTTTATAGTAATGACTGCTCTCCCAGAAAAACCTGACTGCCTCTGCTATCTCTCTAAAGCAGCCATTGTATGCTCTGACTTCACGGGGGTTATATAGATTTATATACAGGTGCCAATATCTGCAATATACTGAAAATGTGGTAAAGGTATTGCTTTCCTGTGCAGATTATCTAGCTTTATTAAAAAACCATTCACTATAAATATCTAAAATGCTGCATTTGTGCACTTGTGCAATTTCGGAGTAGATTTCTAGATTTTTCTTGCTGTGGACAAACTTTGTTTTTATCCAACGTAGTCAGTCTTAAGGGGATGTGAACACTTGTATTGTCCTCAGATAAACTGAAGAGAGTATCCTTTGGGGGTCAAACATTTTAAAGTTCATTCCTATTCCAGTCTAGGCCTATGTAAATTGATGTTACTGCAGTCCTAGTGCTGCCATCCCTATTGTGTTGAATCTTCCTTTCGTTTTCAGCTTGCTTTAAGATGCTGACCTGTCAGAAAGACCTTTCTTGCTGAGTCTTTTGCCTATGTTGCTGTACTATTTTGTTTCTGGGTTACTTTTTCAAACAGAGTTGGCTCGCTAGGATGTCAGATGAATGCCAATATCAGCATAAAGGAGGAGCAGGAGCATGCGGAAGGACAGATCACTGCAGCCTGCATTTATATCAGCTTAATTGGTCCTAGAACCTTGGGTACAAAGATGTTAGTCAGGTACCTTAGTCTCCTGCATCCTCCGAGGAAAGTAGTGGGTGCCTTTGAATAATAACAGGCAGTTTATTTGTGCTTGGCAAGATGGAAGGAGATTCAACCTGAGTGGAGAATGAACTTTGCCGTTGACAACAAGTGTCAGTAGACTTCCAGGCACGTAGGAAGTTAAGGAGAAGTCTTTGTGTTGTAAAGCATGATCTGATTCACCTAGCTTTTCATGTATTTCAGGTACAGTTGACTGTATTCATGCTTAAAAATGACTTAAGCTTACTTTTATGGTGCAAGAGATAGCCTAAGTATATCATAATTTTAATTGCTGTCATGTATTTAAAAAACTCTTTCTGAGCCACTAGAAAGAACTGCAGTAGCAGTAGCTCCTGTCGGAAGTTCACGTTCAGTGTCTTGACAGAGTCAGAGAAACCAGATTTAATAAATCCCTCAGATTTAATAAAAGCCCTTTTTTAGTTCTGGCAGTGGACATGTGAAGGATTTCAGGGATACACCAAGGCTGATTGCTTTACCGTGTTTGGTTTGCATTACTAAGGTAGGTAACCCCTTTTTTCTCCAACATATTGCCACAATATAAAGCTGTTATGTAATTTGCTACAAAAGACATTTACCAAAGTCTCTGAAGGGAGTGAAGGTGCTAGAAAATGTAGGCACTCTGGGTTAAAAGCTAGAGAAAATCCCATAAGACCTTATTGTGTATTCATTTTCTTTTTCCATGGATTTTGAAGCGTGTTTGATGTGCTTCACCAAAAATTCCCATTTAATATGTTTGCATAGTGGAATGTGGATGGGATTTAGGAGGAACACAGATGTTTGCAAAGATCACAGAAGGGCATGAGAAAATGCCTTTTTGTTTTGTTTGGTGGTGTTTTTGCTGGTATAAGCCATAATTGTACATTTATCCCTGGAATTTACATATGGTGGTACTTGAAAAAGGTAAAAGAACGTTTTGGGTCTTCCTTAGCTCAGCAGTTGAGAGGTAAGGTTAAAAAAGACAGAACTAAATACTGGATTTGATAAATTTGCCCGTACACCCATAGTGACTTCCCTATAGGATGCTGTTGTGTACCCAGCAGTTGACTCTGAAAACCTGGGAGATGGCGTGAATGCTTTCTGTGAGACTCGTTTACTGTGAGAAGACAGCCTAATGTTTTTTGTTCTTGCTTGTGTATGTAGTTGCAATGTGTATGACAGAAGGCTTGCAACAGTATAGCAGTTTTATTTGGCTGTTGTCATAACTGATAAATGCTGATATAACGTGTGTAGGCTCTGTTGTGGTTGTTTCTGTTCTGATTTTTATCAACTTCTTTTCAGGGAAGCCTTTCTTGTCTAACATAGATTCATATCTTGGTGGATTTTGAAACTAGACAAGTGATTGATGATAGAGTGGGAGAGGTTCCTAAATGCAGTTGTCTGCTTTTTTTTTTTTTCCCTCTGTGGGCAGATTTTGCCTGTGAAGTATATTCTTTTAATTTTTTTGGGGGTAAATAGCATGTAATATCATGAGGATTTTTTGGTATATTTGTTGTATATTCATAGTTGAGCAACATCATGGGCTAGTGTGTGCACAAAGAGTGGATGATTTCTTGGTATGCAATCTCTGTAAAACAGAAAATGTAGAAAAATAAGTGAATCAAGCTGTTACTTCACTGGCTTTCTTATCTGAGCTGTGGCTTAATTTGATTCAAGTGTAATCTAGGGAAATCTTGAAGGGGAAAAAAAAAACCCAGCAAAAACTAAATCCTTTTTGTGGCAGATGAATTCTTGTAGCTGTAATTTAATGAAACGTCAGATGTACTATCAGAACTGAAGCAGAACGCGGATATGTAAGTAACTGTATATTGATAAGAGATTACTGCAGTTGGCTGTGACTGGAAACGGGCAAGCGTGCCTGAAAACTTTTCCAAACAAATGTAGTTGCTCTAGTATAAGAAATTCTCTTTTTACAAACCTTGTCCTTACTCAGTTTAGTTTTCAAATGCAAGTCTCCACAATATCTTGCTGAAACAGAATGAGAAAAGAATATTTCCATTGCATGTGGTGGGATTTTTTTGGGTGGGTGGTTTGTTTGTTTTTTTGAGCTAAGGCTATCTTTAAAATCTGCCTGGAGGGAAAAAAAACCCCAACACCACCAATATTTTTTTGGTAGCATGTCTTCCTAAAATGTATTCAAGCAGTTTTTTCTAATATATAATGTTGGCTAAAAAAAACTTATTTTGATTTATCGATTCAGTGTAATTTTTGAGAAATGTTAAAATCAGAACTGATCATTAAAACTCTTCTTTCCTTCAAATATCTGCTAATGAATATCTTTAAAGAGCTTGGATTTGAAACTCTCTGCTCGTTTGGTCTTGCAATCATAATAACAGCAGCAATAAAAATACATTTTTTTTCCAGCCTTTCAGTTTAAATCAAGACATTCATGGAGGCTGAATGTTTATTCTGTAAGCTTTTTTTTTTTTTGTCGTGAAATGCAAGGACACAGCTTCTGTTGAGGGAAGTAGCATTTCGTATCTTTGGGGATATTTTAAGACTAAGTTGCGGTACAGAAACTCTCTCCCCTTTTCTGTCCTGGATTAGCTTTGTGGATTATCTAACAAAAAGACACTTTTCCTGCAGCGTGTTCATGGAAAACAGTTTGTTATGCAAGCCTGAATACTATTTAAGCACTGTCCTTCTATAACCGCAAGCATATTTTTCAGTGGGGGGACAATGGGAATGACATTTAACTCCTCCAACGTCACAAACATAGTAGTCTTATCTTATAACACCGAGGAAGATAATTAAACTGGTATGGTAGTTCATTGACATGAATTTAAAATACCAACTACCTCCTCAGCTGCTGGTACTTGCAAAGTGAAAAACAAAGGAAAACCCCAGTCACTGTGGAATCATTTTAAAATGTGGAACAGTAGATTCACTGTTTGACCTTGATAAACATCAGTGAAAGTTGTATCGTACAAATATATACTGGTAGTTAGGAAGTCTTTCTTTGAGTCATCTCTTTTATTCCTTCTTTGCAATAACATGAGATTTTCAGGCTCCTTGCTTATATAGGGGAAAAATTATTTCTAACAATAACACTGTCGTTATTGATAAGATTTTCTTCTGCTTGGTGTTTTGTGAATTGTATTCCAGTTATATGTATTTGTTGAAATAAATTATTCCTTTGGTGTCAGTGGTACATTCTGAAGTCAAGGACAATCCAATTAGTGTTGATTGGGATTTGGCAGCTAAATCCCTGCTCACTGAGCCAAGAACATGCTTGTTATTGCTTATCTGTTAGTGACTAGATACATCGTGATTTCATGTCTCTAATGTTTGCCATTCTCAATTTTCGGTCTTGTGTGAATTGTATAATTTGAAAAAATGGAATCATTGAACCTAGTTTGAGTTCTTTGTTTGCTTTGTAGTAGTCTTGTGCTCAAGGTAGCAACAAAGTAACTAATGACAAAATTTCCACTAAACTGGACATGGGTAACAGACCCCTAGTACTGCAGTCAAAACCAGTAGTTGGTTAACAGTACAGTCTGAGGTTTTGTGTAGCTGTAGTGGAGGAATACTAATACACAGAAGATAGAAAATCATCATAATTTTGGATACAAATTCAGGACAGCTGCATACAAAACCGCATTGGACCCTGGGAGACCTCAATGGATAAAAAGAGACAAAGGAATGTTACTGGGGTTACAAAATCAATCACTCAGAAATTCGAGGGGAGGGGGGAAGGTAGGAATAATGTCCTTTTAATGTGGTTCGTATGTTGTTTCCTAGGATTTTAAAACTGAAAACCCAGAAGATTCACTATTTCAAGCTTGGATAGGTCTTCAGCAAGATTGGAAACAACTTTTTAAATGGTAGACTTGTACATTGGGTCTAATGGAATAGTAACTGGAAGGAAGATGAGATGTTCTGGCAGAGGATTTCTCAGATACTTGCGGATGCAAAGGAATGACAACTCTTCTTTCCAGAATCTTGACTTCAGTTGTGGAAAACTGTGCTTTGGAAAATGAGTTTCATTGAGCTACTTTTGCCAGATACCAGAAGTATTAATGCAAGGAGTATTGAGTGTTGTTGGTTGGCAGTGTCCTCTTCAGGCTCTGTAGTGGGCTGCATATCGCTTCGGTGTGGTTTGGGAGCCCTTGCTCTGTAAGAGTGTGGCCACTCTTCTTGCTTACTCTGTTTGACACATTCTGGTATTTTAAAATTCTGTCATCTCATTTGGTTTTCTAGGTTTACTCCAGAAGAATCTCTGAGCTTAGTGTCTCTCTCTTTCTTCCTCTTTCCTTCGTATCTGTCTCTGTCAATCTGTGTTTTTCTGAGATGAAGTCCTCTTGCCCAGTCAGTCTGATTTCTTGTGTTTTTAATCTTTAAATAAAAATCAGTTCAAAACAT